AATGAGCAACTTCGACATGAACTGCACGAATCGCCAGGCAGGTGAACAGAACTCCATATCGTTTGACATTACTTCTGCCACGTCGTACCACAAACGGACCAAAACAATCAACACCAACACACGTGAAAGGTGGCTGTGAAGGCGTAACTCAATCGACTGGTAAATGTGACATTTTTTGTTGTTGCACTGGTGCTTGCCGTCGTTTGCAATCAAAACAGAGACCAACAGTTTTGCGCACGCTCGATTTACCTTTCACGACCCAGTAACGACCTCTGATCAACGATAGGGTGTACTCTGTCCCAGAATGACCAGAAAGATTGTGAAAGTGTCTTATGATTAAATTGACCACATGGTGTTTCTTTGGAAGAATGATTGGGTGCTTCGCTTCGTTGTCTATTGGTGCCTGTTGCAATCGCCCTCCCACGCAGAGAAGATCATTAACTACAATGGAATCGAGCTTGTATATGTGGCTGCTCTTCCTTGTGGATTTTCTCTTTCCTTGGGAATTTTGTGGGTCGCATTGTGCAACACACCTGATTTCGCCGGGGTAAGAGTCGTTCTGCACCAATCGCAAAATCTCTCTCTCTGCTTCATTCATCTCTTGAACGCTTATCGTTTTAAAGGCTTTAGTGTCATCTTGTTTTTCAGGCGGAGTATCCTTATCACCGCAGTCTTTAGCACGTTTTCTCAAGTTAGTCTTGTAGCGGAGTACCCATGCCATTATTTTCTTTAATTTGTTCCACGACGAGACCCGCTCGAAGGCTGTTAATATTGGGTTTGATCAGGGCGCTATAAAACACGGGCGGTGAAACGGAGATAGCGCCCCTGATCTTTGTGTGATGCGCGTACCCCCCGTATACATTAATTTATAATGTCAATAAAAATGGAATTGGAATGTTTATGCAAAAAAGAGCTGAAAAAACTAAAGTAAAAAATGTTTTCTGCATGCACATTCCTAAACAACTTGATGGTTTGAAGACATTGTTGCATTCATTTTCTGTATATCTGATGAAGGAAAGAGGGCTTTAAAGATTCGTCATGAGCGAAATAAAAATTTGAAAAGGAATCGAGCTGATGAATGTGGGCATATTCCAAAAATATTATACGAAAATTTTGGTATGAAATGGGATATTTTACTTCATAATGCGAAGGTAGGATAAACATTTTCACAGTATGAATATTCTGACATTGCTTGGCTATTATTTTTCAATAATTATATAGCCCAAAATTGACCATGCATGCATTAAAAACAGCTAGAATTTGAAAAAAACAACTACAATTTGCTCGAACAATTTGAAAACTTAAATATATAACCGTTTTTGTGTTAACCAGCCGGCCTGCTCGGAATCCATTGAAAGTTCATTGTAAAATGTTTTTAACTAATTGATTTGATTTCTATTATTGGTATAACTGCCGCCGACACTCCAAAAATATTCAGCGTGAATCTTTTTTCGTGCGACTGCAGTCGTTGACATTGCAGTGACAGTGTTACGGAAAACTATAAAGGCTGCAAAATATCTCCAATTTATGAAAAAAGCACAAAAAAGCACCGTTCAATTTTACTTGAGACATAAAGCCAAATTAAATGTCTATAGTTTGGTGTGTTCAAATTTATCTCAACCTATCTCAACGAGGAGAAAACACTATTTTAAATACGTCCGCGCTTTGACAAAAAAGAAAAAATGTCGTCAAAATCGAGTTCAAAATGCATGTCTTTTCCTCAACAATCGCTTTGTTCATTTTGCAAGTGAAATAGATACCAACTTTAACTATATAAGCTGATACTAGATCCTTCACTAAACGTTTATAGTATGTATTTGAGGCAGGAAGTGATTTCGTTCAAATGATAATTGAAAATTGGTGTTGTTTAAATATCGTCTTATCTGCATATAAGTATAGCACTCGCGAATCTATATTGTCGTGTGGATTATACGGAAAACTATAAAGGCTGCAAGATATCTCCGTTTTATGAAAAAAGCACAAAAAAGCACCGTTGAATTTTACTTGAGACATAAAGCCAAGTTAAATGTGTATAGTTTGGTGTGTTCAAATTTATCTCAACCTATCTCAACGAGGAGAAAACACTATTTTAAACACGTCCGCGCTTTAAATTTTGCAAATATTTTCATCGCTCGAGTAAAATTTTTGCCCTGAAATTTTCTTTCAACGAGTGTTCAGCAACAAACAACACAAGCTATTACATGTGATATAACTTATTAAATAATATTTCAAATTTTAATTAACGAAACATAATTACTTAGCAGTTAAATCCTTTGTTTTCTCGTTTGCTTGTTTACATTTTTTTGTTGCCATTTTGTACGCGATTTTCTGATTTTTTAGAGAAAGCGCGCTCGCGCCAATCCTAATGTGCATCACACATAGCACGGTCATTTATTAGCGCGTTTCCCCGCCCGTGTTTTATAGCGCCCTGCCGAAATTGAGCAATCACGACTCACGATATACCCCATCAACACCTTCTTGCATGAACCAAATACTAGCGAGTGACTTACAAAATAGTAAAGGTGCACCGCATAGACCATTTTACTTCTGGCTGGATATGCTGGATATGCCGGACATATATGGTTCAGGTCTATTTAACAATTAGTCGCCGAAGGTGAGGTGATTACAAGCCTATATTCACTGAGCCGAAGGCGAAGTGAATATAGGCTTGTAATCACCGAGCCTGAGGCGACTAATTGTTTTAGTATAAATTTCCAGGTGCTTACAAACAATAACCCACACAACTTTATAAAAATTCACTTCAAATAAATTTATTTTCACTATAAATAGTTTGTTTACATAATTTAAATCTCAGACTCGGCTCTGTGTCGCGTTGCGACTAAGCCAGTTGTTTCCAAATAAAAGCGCGTAAAGTTTAATATTTTACCTTGAAATATTTTTAAACCATATTTTGTAGCTTGTTTGGGTTTTTTCGGAATGCTATCTTCTTTAATTTTGGCAATTTCCTCTTCTGTTACTATGACAAAACGAGCAGCCATTTTGAAAAAAAAAAGCTATAGTCACTGACCAGTGACTATCACTTCAGAGACCGTAAATCTTGACCAATCAGAATGCAGAAAAATCAATAGTCACCTGGAAATTTATACTAAACTGCTATAGTCCTTCAAGGTTAAATAGTTACTTTCATTGGTTATAACGTGATGGTGTCTATAATATATTGACTTGAAATGATAGGAAAGAGCTTCACAGTCCAACATCGATAAACATGCATGGTTGGAAAAGCCTTGCTCAAAAAGTTCAAATCCACTCGCATTTGCAAGCGAGCTTGAAAAATCTTGAAAATATTGCCATCCTCTATACGATCATTTCCAGTAAAAATATGATAAATACTCGTACTTTTTAAACCATATTACATCATTTACAACCATTCTCGTACCCAGAGCCCTTCTTACGCGCGTTCGACTGAGCGCGACGAGGGGCTCTGGCCAAATCCATATCAACTGGCACTGATCTGATTAGCCATAGTTCTAATACCGGATATTTTTCTCTTACCATGTTTTTATGGTATCTGGTTATGGATTTGGCCAGAGCCCCTCGTCGTGCTCGGTCGAACGCGTGTAAGAAGGGCTGTGGGTACGAGAATGCGTTTCCAACATGAAAAGAAAGCCTGGACCTTCAAATAAACAATATCCTGGATACCGGATAATGAGATTATCTCACTATCCGGCTCGGAGACCCGGTTGGATATGACATCCGGTGCATCCCTACAAAATGGCAGCGTTTCTGTACTCTAGTCTACACGTATTTTATATAATTCTACCCAGTGGATCTAACGACGGCCAAAAGGCCTGGAAATATAGTTTTTGAAAAGTAGTTCAGTGTTCTTTATCTAATCCTTACTGCACTTTATGAGCCGTAATTAACATTTCCTCACGTAATTTCTTCTTTTATTTGAAATGTCTGAATTATTATGTTTAGGTTATAAAGGAAACTTGGCTGAACGAAAAGTGGCTTTGATATTTTCAGTTATACTCACCGTTCCAGTTTTGTTACTTGTGTTGTTTCTGATGCTCTGGCAGACTTACGTGTGAGTTTTTGTTCTTGCTTTTTTATTTACAGATAAGTTATATAATACTTGTTGTAGTTAAAGTAGTATTCCAGTTTGCGATAGGTGTATTACTCCGAAAGAAGAGTACGAAAGCGGAGGAATTGTGAGGACTGACTTATTTGAGTGCCATATCCGTTGGAAAATTTCCAATGAAATGCTGGATTCTTTGACAAAGCGCCCAAATTTAAACTTATCGCCACGCGTATAGTTTTCACAAATCATACCACCCGGGAGGTGTTCAATGATAAATTTTCTTGTTCACGTGGGTACAATCTTAACTCTTTCATTGGACAATTTGAGGTACAAGTATATTAATTTTGAGTAATGCACTTCTCGTCATCTGGTTGTTGATACCCTTGCTTGCATACTGCATGTATATACATTCAATTAGCCTTTCTCACGCCGCCATTTTGGGGTGGCTTTTCAGCTGAGGTCTGCGAGATAAGTCCACATAACAGCGACTTTTTATATCAATTCAAGTTACATAATGTTGAGAGCACAAACAAAATTTTATATTTCAGATTAAGACTGGAGTTCATTCTTTGCTGTATTCTACTCGCATTTTATGGCCTTGAATTTTTCATCAGCTTGGCAACATTCTTCGTGATTCAGAGGTCAGGTTCTGTACTATACCGTACCGTAATAATCTTACTCTGGGATATTAGTCTCGTTCTTTCTTTCGTACTCGCATGCACGGATCGATAACTTTTTGTGTGCCTGCATGTGATCGAAAAAGTATTTGAAAATATACCTGCAAATATCCACATGAAAAATGTGAAATTAAATCATTACTAATATGTGGTTGGCTGATGATGATGAGGCTTAGCCGTCCGCGTATAGATGACTCCATGCAATAAAATTAACTATGCTATCAATAAACTGAGAGTTTTGACTTTTTAAATTTCCATGCATCAGTAACATTATAAACTTCAAAAGTTCAAATAATTGAAGCTGGTTACATCCGGACGTCAGATTTTTACGGACGTCAGATTTCCGAGGGAAGACTGGATTAAAAACTGCATGTGTTTGTGTTAGTTTGTGGTAATCGTCAACACATGTGACAGAACATAAGATTTTAAAAGATTTTTTGCTTTCATACACAAGCCTCGATCGAGTCCGGACCTCAACTCAGTCAATAAATAACATGTGTATTTTAATTCTACCTCCGACAGTGGACCTATGCACATGTTTGAAATGCCAAAAAGAAATATAGCTGCTGGAGCCTGAAGACCTATATGCTGTATTTTTGCTAACTATTCACTTCAAGCTAACGGGTTGCTCGCAAATAAAATCTTGTAGACTATCTGTTGTAAACACTGCATGCATGCTTGTGTAATTATGCATGTATATGGAGATTATAAACCTGTTTATATTTGGTCAAAAGTATCCAATATACAGCTAATTCAATTAAGATTGTCCTTCCAAAAGCTTAAACATTAAACTATGAGCGCACAAGGGATGATGGGTTATTGCTTATTTAGACTCATAAACTTTGAAATTTGGCTTTGCAAGAATACCTATAAGACATATATAAGACTCACGACAGAAAACATTATTACTGCAAAGGCAATTTTCTGAGTTTAAGGGATTAATATGTGAAAACCCATCATCCCTTGCGCGCTCAGAGTTTAAGGTTTAAGGTTTTGGAAGGACAACCTTAATTGAATCAGCTGTATACTATACATCTCTTTCAATATGAATTAATTAAATGGTTTATATTTGTATTTATAGGCATGAATCGGTTTCAAGATAGTATACTGTAGCACCTGCGAGAACTTTACTAGCATGGTCAATAAGTATGGTAACAAATTCAGTATCGTTTAAATAGCGATGAAACACAGTTCATGCAGAAATTAACTGTTTGCTATGTTACCGAAAGTAATCACCAAGCATGCGTAACATGAACTCGACCTTGTTCATGGTGTTATACTGCAAGTCACAGGTATACCATCGTATGGTCACGCTTTGTTCGTGGCTTAGTCACCATTTTGATGTAAACTATCAATATTAAGAAGTGTTAACTGGAAATCACGTTCCTGTGTGGTGCAGAAGAAGGATGTGTTTAAAGTCGATGATGAACGAATAGTGACGGTGGTTGAATATTGGGCTAAATTAATGGGAAATGCGTACAATAATTTATGAGATTTTGCCATCATATTTAATGAAATACCCAGGCATGCAAATGTGTGCCAGTGACATGTATCCAACCTCAGCTCTTAATGGTCTCCTCAAGACGACCAATAAGTATACATCGCAAAATGTTCGCCAAATAAATTAAACCTTGCAATGCATGATGTTATGACAATTCAAATTATGTTTCCAGCTATTACGTGAAGAATGGTCTCGTATATGGTCTCATTTCTCTTGTGTCATGATAGTATGGCCAGTGTCAGTGATGGGTACTTGGGGGAGGGAGGAGGGGATGCTGTAAGTTTAAAGAATCGAGATTTGCAGGAGCAAAACGGCGGTGGTAATATATTGGCAACGTGAAGTCGCCCGCCTCCCCTCCCCTCTATATTTCGCAAAGTGTATATGCCACTGCTCTTTTGGCCTTTGATGGTACGATTTTATAGGTCGTATATATATATAGTGTAAAATAAATAACTTATGTCACAGTTAATGCACAGAACAGGAGTAATTCAATATTTATTTGTATATTTATTTGTCTATAGTGCTATATTTATATACGTATGGACTTGGTAATTTACGCCTTTTATTGATTGGTAAAAAAGGAATAAAAATTGACCACATGCAATAAACAACTCACGTCCTTGTTTGACGCACTTTGACCATCAGCGCTCATATATGGACCTCGTTTTAGCTGCATGCATGCATGCATGGACGGCGTGGCCATGGCTCTCTCCTCCGCAGAGGCTTTAGTTGGCTATGATTACGATTAGTATTGAGATGGAACACGAGCGAAGGAGCCCAGTGGCTCCGCTCGTGTTCCAAGATCCGCCATGTAAAGTGCAGTGAAATGTATCTCAATACTAATCGTAATCATAGCCAACTAAAGCCTCTGCGGAGGAGAGAGGCATGGTTGAAATTTGGATAGAGGCAGTGGTGTAATTCACTCCGTTACAAGTAACGAAATTACAAGTAATCGCTACTTTTTTAAGTAACTGTACTCCGTAGCGGTAACTAGTTACGTTCTGAAAAGAGGTAACTGTACATTTTGGCTTAAAATGGAAGGCTAACGCGTTACTTTTCTAACCAACGTTCACGTTACTTTGTTCATTACATTTTTACGTTAAATATGGTCCTTGCTATTTTGTTTATAGTATCATCTTTCATTGCATGCATGTGGTCGATACGCTGATTCACTGCACAATAACTCCCCTCCTATTTGCCGACCTGCAGTTGGGTTGTTATCCCATGCATTCTTTACAGTAATTTAATAATTGAACTCGCTGTCAATGTAATAGTCCGTGCCAGTGTAGGGTGCCAATAATATAATTAAACTTCGGTTCATAGGGATGCAAATACCTGGAAAATACAAGGAGAACTTCGACGTTTCAAGCGAAGGTCTACAATCCTGGTCAAAAATATTGGCGCACTTGACACTGACTGTGCGAAAATTGACTTCCACATCAATAACAAGCCCCCCCCCCCCCTTCCCCCGTTCAATGTTGTGTGTAGTGTGCTATACGTCCAAGGTGTTACATAACATTGATAAGGGGGATAGGGGGTGTTTGGACATGAAATTTTGCATAAAATGGGCAAGTATGTATATGGTAATCAGAAATGAAGTAAAGGTTATCCTATTTCGACTAAGTGCGCCAAGGATTTTTGACCAGGATTGTAGGCTCCGATTCCAGCCGTTATGGTTCTCGGCAGCCTAGACCTAGGCCTTCTATTTTTATTATTTTTTTTAATATTCAACGCTTTTTCACATGAAAAGACTGGGACTAGGTGATTTGGGGCGGGCTAGGCTGGGTTCTCGGCACTCGTCCCACCAAGAACCCTAACAGCTGCAATCCGAGCCAAGCAAAGACACTTCGTCGGAAGTTAGTTACCACTACCTAGTTAGTGACTATTAACTTCCCGACGAAGGGCCTTCGCTCGAAACGTCGAATTTGTATATTTCAGATAGTTGCATCCCATGCAACTGGTTTTAGCTTGATTCACTGATCATAAAAGTTGTGTGCACGATACAAAGCTGATGGATATTTCCACTTTGTATATATAGAAAGAAACGTAACAACAAAATCACACATGTTGACTGTAGTGATAAATAGCGATCATAAAAGCCAAAGGCTAGCTGCGTTCAGACTGGGTGTCCGGCACTGGCGCCCGTCACTTGTTTTGGCGCCTATAGTTCAAACACGACACTTCCAAATGAAATTGGGCACAGTGCCCAAGAAAGGGCACTACTTCTAGCCAGTAGCCTAGTACTCAACAACGGCACTGTACTCAACATGTTTTGGGAACCAGTTTGAACATTGGGCACCAGTGCCGGGCACTTAGTCTGAACGCAGCCAAATTGTCCAAAACTCTGAACAATTTGTGTGAACGACCTGTTGCACATAACGTTAATTCGATCTATGCAGCTGACAGAAGATGGATCTCAGCTAGTCGGCCTAGTTTTGAATGTTTATCAACGCGTTGCTATGTTTTTTTTATGTGTTATAACATTTCAACTGTTTCTGCCATACCATTGTTAAGTGCTATAAGCCCACCGTTCAGACAGGAGATGTTTCCTTGACAAATTTTCCTTTGCAAGTTTTTTATTTCCTCGTGTGTTGCCTTGCCGTTCCAAAGCCAGTAATGCCAGCTTTTGTTCGGTGTGTCTTCTGCCAAGGAAAACTTGACAAGTGTACAAGAAATACCTGATACTTCCACGGTTTTGGCAAACAAAAGGCGGCCATGAAGTTAGATAAATGTTTAACAGGGTTCGTACAAAACTTGAAAATCCTTGAATGTCCTTGAATTTGTAAAGAGGTACTTGAAAGTCCTTGAATTTTTCTTGCTTTAGTTTATGGATATTTTCAGAAACTGTTTGACATTCAAAAACGAAACTTTTGTTGATTTTATGCGATTTTGCACATTTATGTCTGACAAAGCTGTTTGAAACTCATTAAAGTTGCGTTTTGAACAATTCAATGTCACATTTTACTGATTTCTAACCCCTTTTCTTCAGTATTTAGTCCTTGAATTTGTTGGTACATGGCCTTGAATGTCCTTGAAAGTCCTTGAATTTGACTCTTCTTCACATGTACGAACCCTGGTTTAACAACATACTCGGCGGTGCACACGAGCAACGAAACTTGTCAAGGAAAACTTGTTGACCGTACACGCGAGAAAGTAATTATATAAGCCTGTACGAAACTACGTGCGAGGATTAAATTAGCCCCGTAAAAACGTCTAATTCCAAATCTTTCAAATGATATCTTCATATGGAAGCCTGGATCAGATGGAAGGTTTGCAAAATTACAGAGCCGTGGTTATTGCGCAAAAAAAATCGATTATGTTCATCGCCATGGAACAAAAATTCTAAATAATGCTTTGTTACGTCACATTATGAGTTCATAATTGATAATTGGAACTTTGCTGGAATAACGACCAGCCATAGCTGCTCCAACATGTCACAACGTCTTGTCACATCAAAATGCCCTTACAGATGTTCCAGAAAAATTTATGGAGCTCTGGATTTAATAGAGAACAGCAGGAAGAAGCATTCACAAGGTAACCATCGATATAGCGTGAAGAAAAGCCACGGGAAGAAATGTGGTGCTTCCAAGAGATCAGATACTCATACTGTGAATGATGTCTCGAGAACGGCTGAAGTAGATGAACGAGAAAAGACGAAATTATCACAATTGCTTACAGTTTATGGTGAACAAAACAGTCCAGCTTATAGGCAAGGGTTTGATATCAAGAACTACAGACCATATCGACCGCATTTTCCCGAATTGAGTCACTTGACAACCCCAGCAATGGCCAGAGATTCTGTGTTGCGTACTTCATCGCCGCTGAGTGTCCTTCAAGATAGACCACCTTCACTGTCAAAAACACAAACATTTACATTGCCTGATATTAACAAAAAACCATTAGTTTAACTGTGCTAGTGCTTAATATCTTCATCACTAGATTATTCACATAACCACATCCATATTTTGAGATACAACTATATAAAGTTAATTTATGTACCATGGAATCATGATATTGGTCAAATATTAAACCTGCTTTCCATAGCAGAGAAACTTTTTCCAGAAATATATCAGTTTTTCAACACTGAAAAACAAAACATTGATAGTGTTTCAATTTTTCACCAGGATAGCGCTTGCAATAGGGAGTTTAAGCTTTCTCGTTTGCGGGAACGGCAAACGGCAAGGCCGACTTTTCTTGGCATAATTTTCGTTCGATTTCGGCGTGTCATATAGTTCTTTCATATGACACAGGAATAATTAAGCATTCTAGTTATAAAACAACAAGCCCATTTACTTTTTATTGCTTTTTAGTATAATTACATAGGTGATTATTGAAAATTCTCCACGCTGATTGGTTGCCGTTGAGGTGATTATTACGCGATAATCACCTAAGCGATTTTCAAAATGGCGGCCGAAGCCTTTTTGTCAATTAAATGACAAAGAAATGTGTATTTTCTTATTTTTTTTCCAAATAATCACCTATGAAATTATACTAAAACAATTATTCACCTCAGGCTCGGTGATTATCGTGAATAAAAACCCCGACTTCGTCTCGGTTTTTATTCACCGATAATCACCTCGCTTTCGGTGAATAACTGTTAAATAGCGTAAAATGTTTCTTTGCCTCTTGACGTTAATATTGTCGTATGTCGTCGAACGCGAAACTTAAGCTCTCTAAAATCCATGGGTGTACGGGGCCTTTCAAAGCTGGGGGAGGCACCAGAATTTGTATTTGACATATTTTCTGATATATTTGCCCGAATTTAATTTGTTCCTAGCATGTGCCAACACCGCGGAAAAACGTCTGCGCATGCGTCAACCTTACCTGTAATCAGTATTACGAACTTGATGAGAAGCTGTTCCGAACGTTTCCGAAAGCTCAAAATGGCGGTAAAAAGGAGTGACTTCATTGTGCGTCTTTAC